CAGGAGCCAGCAGCCTCTTCCGGGTCGGCCACATGGGTACAAGGGCCCAAGGACTTGGGCCATCTTCTACTGCTTTCCCAGGCCCCAGCAGAGAGCTGGATTGGAAGTGGAACAGCTGGGACTCGAACCAGTGCCCATATTGGATGCCAGCAATGCAGGCTGGGGGTTTTAACCTGCTGTGCCACAGCGCCGGCCCCTACAACATATTTTCAAAATCAGAAAGCTTTCTAGTTGCCCTTAAACTCCTTAAAGGCATCCCAGCCTCTCTTGCAAAGAATGCAGTGATGTGCAGAATGAATGACAGTGAATTTCAACAGCTCCAGAAGACCACTGCCTTAAGGAACAGCAATATTTTCCTAGGGGAATAATTTGCTCTCCCATTGTTAAAGTCACTTTCTGTAGTTTAAATAAAAAATTTAGAAAAAGCTAAGTAAACCTAATTAAATAATTATCTTTTGAATTTTGATTTCTTAATTTAGTATACAATTCTTAATTTAGTTTACAATTGTCTCAAACAGTTGTAAAAATATCAAGGTTTAAAACAAAAATACCAGAAGCCCACACACTCAGCTTAAGAAATAAAATGTTGGCCAGTGCCCTGGCTCACTTGGTTAATCCTCCACCTGCGGCACCAGCACCCCAGGTTCTAGTCTCGGTCGGGGCGCCGGATTCTGTCCCGGATGCTCCTCTTCCAGTCCAGCTCTCTGCTGTGGCCCGGGAGGGCAGTGGAGGATGGCCCAAGTGCTTGGGCCCTGCACCCGCATGGGAGACCAGGAGGAAGCACCTGACTCCTGGCTTCAGATCAGCGCAGCACACCAGCCGCAGTGGCCATTTAGGGGATGAACCAACAGAGGAAGACCTTTCTCTCTGTCTCTCTCTCTCACTGTCTAACTCTGCCTGTCAAAAAAAGAAATAAAATGCTGGCCAGTGCCGTGGCTCACTAGGCTAATCCTCCACCTAGCGGCACCGGCTCACCGGGTTCTAGTCCTGGTCAGGGCGCCGGATTCTGTCCCGGTTGCCCCTCTTCCAGGCCAGCTCTCTGCTGTGGCCCAGGAGTGCAGTGGAGGATGGCCCAAGTGCTTGGGCCCTGCACCCACGTGGGAAACCAGGAGAAGCACCTGGCTCCTGGCTTTGGATCAGCGTGGCACGCCGGCCGCGGCGGCCATTGGAGGGTGAACCAACGGCAAAGGAAGACCTTTTCTCTTCTGTCTCTCTCTCTCTCACTGTCCACTCTGCCTGTCCAAAAAAAAAAAAAAAAAAAAAAAAAGAAATAAAATGCTACTAATGAAGCTGAAGCCCCTGGGTATAGCATTAAAATGGTACTATATAGTCCATTGTCATTATAGAAATAAGATGTATACAATTAAGCAAGAAAAAACTTTTTACCCCCGGTTTACATCTGGGCAACAGCACAGCTTCTGAACCAAATCTACATGCTATGATAATTCCAGATCTGCTTGGTGAGAGAATAGTGCAAGATACCAGCACAGTGATATTTCTGGGTGTAAATCACACACACGCTGTACATACACAAACTAGGAACAGGTGTTACCCCACTCAGATTATTTCTGAACAGTCGTTTGGGAAGATTAAGCCTGGCACTTGAGCCATCTGTTTACATGCTACAGAGCATTTTGGGAGCTTTCACAGGAGAAGTTTGCTAAACAAACTCTCTAAAAGCATGACTGCTAAGTTGGAAATGGTGGCACAGTGTCTCCAAGGGCAGGACACTCCCTAGGGACCATGCCCATTCCCTTGCAAAGCACCCTGCTCTTCTGTTAACAAGCAGGCTTTTGGTTATCTGGTAAGATGCTGCATGGGACACCCGTAGCACATTTCAGAGTGCCTGGGTTCAAGTCTTGGCTCTGCTCCCAAGTCTAGCTTTCTGCTAATGTGCACCCCGGGAGGCGGCAGGTGATGGTGCAAATAGTTGGTCCCTGACTCCCACATGGAGACTCAGACTGAGTTCCATGCTCCTGACTTCAACCTGGCCCAGCTCCAGCCATTGCAAGCATTTAAGGAGTCAAGTCAGTGGATGGGAGATGGATGGGGAGATCTCTGTCTATTTGTTTGTCTGTGACTCTATACCTTTCAGATAAATACATGAAATTAAAATTGTAAAAGAATAAAAAAAAAAAAAGTTGGGGCCAGCACTGTGGCATAGCAGGTTAAGCTGACACCTGCAGTGCCGGCATCCCATATGGGCACTGGTTAAAGTCTCGGCTGCTCCACTTCTGATCCAGCTCTCTGCTATGACCTGGGAAAGCAGTAGAAGATGGCCCAAGTCCTTGGGCCGCTGTACCCCTGTGGGAAGACTTGGAGGAAACTCCTGGTTCCTGGCTTCAGATCGGCACAGCTCCAGCCATTGCAGCCAGTTGGGAAGTGAACAAGCAGATGGAAGACCTCTCTCTCTGCCTCTCCTTCTCTCTCCGTGTAACTCTGACTTTCAAATAAATAAATCTTAAGCCGGTTCAGCATACATTCACAGCTGCATGAGGTTGCTTGCTCCCTGATGCATCAGTTATCAAACCTCTAACAAGAGAGGGCAACTTCGGGGCCAGCGCTGTGGCATAGCAGGGTAAGCCTCTGCCCCTAGTGCCAGCATCCCATATGGGTGCCAGTTTGAGTCCTGGCTGCTCCATTTTTGATCCAGCTCCCTGCTTATGGCCTGGGAAAGCAGTTAAGATGGCCCTTGCACCCATGTAGGAGACCCGGGAAAAGCTCCTGGCTTCAGATCAGCACAGCTCCGACTCTTGCGGCCATTTGGGGAATGAACCAGCGAATGGAGAGACCTCTCCATCTCACCCTCTCTCTATCTGTACCTCTGCTCCTCAAATAAATAAAAACAGAGGGCAACTTCTCCAGACTTGTTGACCAACAGAAGGAAAGTGAAGCTGGTGGGCTCAGTCATCAAGCATTCCATGCCTGCCACTCTGCCTATGAAAGTCACTCACGCTCTAGGGGTGGTAGGCAGACTTGGCGCATGTGAAAGAAATTCACAGGGGGGAAGAAAAGCCAAAATAGGAAAGGGTCCTCCTAAGGGACCCTTCTCGGTTGCCGCATCTCAGTGTCCATCCAATGGTCGCCCTTCCTCTGGTCAACCCTCAAGGGTCTGCTATGCCTCCTTTCTCCCCCTGGACAGCCTCATTCCCTTTCCTGGCTCTGATGAACACACCGAGGCTGACTCCCCCCAAGTCTCTTCTCTCTGGTCTGAATCACTTGCCTGAGCTCCAGACCCACCATGTCCATTGTTGGATCAACATCTCCAACTGGCACCTCAGGCTTGCTGCTTATTTCCAAAACTGAACTCTGCTCTTAAAGCCTGAGCGTCAACCTGGACCTCCGCGAAGCCTTCCAGCCCTCCAGATTCCACTGACTCTGCGGCCCCATCCAACTCCAGGTTGGAGTTGGTCAGGTAACTCCTGACTCGAGTTACTTATTACCTAATCATCCTCCAGATGGCTCACACCCTTGTTTAAAAAAAAACTTCACTCTCTCCCCCACTGCCCTCAGGGTAATCCCAAAACCCCTGCATTGTGTGGCCCCTACAACACCTTTCGTCCTCATACTTCAGGCCTCAAGCAGACCGGCTGCCTCCACGCTGGCTTTGAGTAGTTTCTCTCGATGGAAGGGTCTTTCCCAGTCCCTGATGGGACCCCCCCCACCCACCCTGGCCCACCCTTTAGATCTGAGCCCCCATGAAGCTCTCCCCTCTGCTGATGGTCCCTCCATTTCCCCCATCACCGCTCACATCACACCTATTGTCTTAGTGTTATCAACAAGATGGGCTCCTGGTACACATGTACTAGGCACTTAGGCCTTCAATGATGAAAGATCAGATGACTGGATTTTCACCAGGGGCAAAGTTTATCTGCTCCTGACTTATGAACTACAGTATCCACGAAGGGTTTCCAGTTAGGAATATAACACAGGAATGTAAGTGGAAAAACCAGTTTCCCTTTCTTTCACTTACCCCAGAACCAGGCAGGAGAACACAGGGAGGGTCCTACAGTTAATCAGAGCCCTTTCTTCACAGGCCTGACATGTCATTTTAAGTAGAAGGCATTATGTGGCTACGTGATTCCACAACTTCCTAGTGACTAGATCAGAGGTTTCCCAGGGCAAGCCTCCCTGTGATTACCCCACTGGACCAGTTATTAGAGCTTTCAGCTTGACAAGCACATTAAATCACACAAGCACTGAGAATCAGGCGCCACTGGTATCCCCAGGGTGTGGATAGGGGGACTGGGGCTCAGAGATAGCAAATAAGCTGCCCAACATTCACAAACAATTGGTGGGAAAACCAGATTTCCAACGCAGTTAAGTCCCCAGAATCCTGCCCTGGCCTGTGTATAATGCATAAATGAATGGAATGGAAAACCCTGCTTAGAGTTCAGGATGACCCATTTGGGGATCTATATATTAGAAGACAAGAACTCACAAGGCCGGAGCTGTGGCTTAGCAGGTAAAGCTGCCACCTGCAGTGCTGGCATCCCATATGGGTCCAAGTTCAAGTCCCGGCTGCTCCACTTCTGATCCAGCTCTCTGCTATGGCCTGGGGAAGCAGTGGAAGATGGCCCAAGTCCTTGGGCCCTTGCACCCATGTGGGAGACCCAGAAGAAGCTCCTGCCCGTTGTGGCCACCTTGGGAGTAAACCAGCGGATGGAAGACCAATCGCTCGCTCTCTCCCCCTCTCTGTAACTCTGCCTTTCGAATAAATAAATAAATCTTTAAAAACAAAAAACCAAGAACTCCGATAATCCAAAATGCATTCACATTTTACTCTGGGTTACAGTTCAGGGGAACACAAACGTGTTCAGGCCTCAAGGACTGACCACTCTGTTCCGGGGCACCCTGCCTGCGAAGACCCCCGGCTCCGGTGGGCCCTTCCCGCGCGGAGCAGGGCCGGCAGGTTCCAGACAGCGCAGTCTGGGCTCGCTGGAGCAGGCACTGAAGCAGGCGCGAGGGAAGGCGCCCAGCCAGGCCTGCTTTCCGCTTACCTCCCGCAGCTCCAGCCTCTGGGCCACGGCTTCCAGGCTCTCCTGGCCCGTGCTCTCCACGGACAGCGTGAACTCCACGAACTCGCTGTTGAGCAGCTGGATGCGGGCCACCAGGCAGCTCTTGCTGGAGACCGTGTAGCGCCGCGTGCGTTTCAGCTTCAACCCAAACGGCAGTGGCATCTTCTCCCGTCACGGGGGCAGCAGTCGGCAAGGAGAAGCACCCCAGCAATCCAGCGGCGGGGACGCCCGGAGCACGCGCTCCTCTCCCGACCCGACGGACCGACGTCGATCGCTCACCCGGCGGCCGCTGCCGCCATTAAAAAACAACGGTGTCTCCCAAGGCCAAGGGAAGGGGGCATCCACGCCAGGGCTGAGGAGAGAGGAAGGCGGATTACAACAGAAGCTCTGGCGCTCGCTGCTCAAAATAAAGACCAGGGCAGCTACGACCGCCCAAAGCAGCAGCGTCTCCCGCCCCGTCGAGGGGCTCTAACGGGATCAGGGAGGCGGCGGCGGGACGCTTATCCTCTCAGCGAGGGCGTGGGGCGCCGCCTCGGACTCCACCCCTCACTCCCTTCCACAGATGCTGATAAGGGTTGGGATGAGGGGAGATGGCGGCCGGCGCCCCCACACACATCCTCACTGGCGTCTGGGGCTCCAGTGCAGAACTCCTCCCTCCTTAAGAGCTGCCACGTTGCAGTCCCAACCCTCGAGGCAAATCAACCCTGAACCCGGACCCTAAGGCTTTACGTCATCACATGCACTGATGCAGACGCAAGTCCCAAAAGACCCTACAGACAGCTCTTGATGGAACCATGGAGGTTTCTGGAAACGTGCCCTCCCCCAACCCACCCCCGCTGCTCCTCTCCAGGATAAGGGACGCCCAAGACGGCGGTGGGCCCTCGCCTGAGAGGGGCCGCGGCCCGGATGAGCAGGTGGGAGAGGCCCTAAGTCCCATCGCGGGTTAATGAGGGTGCGGAGGGCTCTGGATCCCGCTGCTCCCGCGTGCTCTCGGCGGGAAGCGCAGACAGCTTTGCCCAGGCCCCCCGGGCAGCCTCGGAACTCTCCGCCCCCGCCCGCGTTTCCGGACGGAGGTGTTCTGGGAGGACCAACCACTCGGCTCCGGGAGGGGAAACTTTTAAAGGGGCCACCTCGAGCCGCACAGGTGGTGGAGCAATGGGGCGGATCCCGCCGGATGCCAAGTTTGGAGCGGCAGGCTCCCAAAGTGCGCTACTTACGACGGGTGTAACCACACCTGTTGAAACCGTAAGCGAGGGGGCAGCTGGGGAATGTGCTAGCGACTGGCTTCATTTGTTTTTTTTCCCTCTAAGTCGGTCAAAATCCCGCACATTCCCAGAGCCCTCGGGCAGCTCCCAGCCCCTGTTTCCAAGGATGACTCTCTCCGGGGGCTGCGGAGGGCCAGGGGCCGCCCCGGTTGACCCCCTCGTGCGGCGGGCAGAACGGAGGCCGCGGCCGAGGAGAAGCGGCTGTCTCAGCTTCACGCTGGCCCCCTGGCCTCGGCCCCCGAGCCGCCGGGCCCTCAGGGATGGGGAGCAGGGTTCAGCCATCACCCTAGGCTGCGCCCAACTGAACCTTTTGAAACTCCACCCCACAAACGCGTACGGCGTCCCTGGGTACGAGACCGCGTAATGAACATCTTGGGAAATCCAAGCCGAATCCTACGCCGGCGCTGTCCTTAAGGAGATTACAAGCGTGCTATAATTACACGCAGGGCTGCATCGCTAAGAAGGGCCCGGCCCTGGTTTTCTGTCTGTTTTGTTTGTGTTTCTGTTTTTGTCTTACGGTCTGGTAGGGGGGGAAAGAGAGAGAGAGAGGCCTTGGGGAGAAAGGGGGAGGCGGGAAGAAAAAGCACCCTGAAACCGCCGTGTTGGGGAGCACCTGCTGAGTGCCTTCTGCAGGTAAAGGCGCTGTGTAAGAACCTGGGAAGACAGACGAAATAAACCTGACACGCAGATGCGGTCTCCACCTGCAGTTGCCGACGCTGCTTGCTGTTCCTTGAGTATTATAACTAGGCGAAGCGTGAGACTTAACAAGAACCTAAATAAGCTTTTTACTAAAAATCGCCTACCAGTGTCTGTGGATGTTAAAAGATTAAAGAAACACAGTGCGTGTACTGTACACCCTTTCAGGAGTGAGCTAGATTTCTGTTTTATATGCAAATTATGGTAAATGGAAAACGGGCCAGATTTAGTGTAGAAGAAGAGATGCTGCATATAGGCATAGGAAGACTACATATTTGTATTAGCGGCTGTTCAAAAGTGGAATTTTCTTCACTACAAAGAACTATGCCTTTAAGGCAAAAGATACTACACTATGTAACTTAATTATTAACTTGAGCTCTTAAGGCAAACTCAGAGTAAAACTTTCAATTTCACGGAGATCTGAAATGCTTTGCAGCATCAGGCATAAGGAAAAGCCATTATTTGGTAGATGGTATAATGGGATTGAGGTCTGATCAGGTGCATTTCTCAAACACCTCCCCCCACAGATCCTTAAGAATGGCCTGGATTTTGCTTATTGTTATTAAAATCGTGTTAAATGGTTGCATAATTACAAAATTATGTGATTTACACATTTTAATTTTCAGTTTTACACAGTATTTGCTACCAATTCATATCACAAAGTTATGAGAGTTTGAATATAATATTAGAACCAGAGGAGTAAACATTTAAGATGCTTTGAGGGAGGTCTGTTTCAGGGGTAAAACAATATGCACTAACTTAAGAGTCTGGAATTGCACTTTAACCACTAAACAGATAATTCATTCATAAATAGCCCTTAGAGGAAAAACCAAGCAGATAATTTGCTTCTCTAAAGGCCTTTCTTTTGGAAAGAAACCAGATATTAAATTCTGCTTCAGTACAAGTTTACAAAAGCTATTTGTGAACTCATTTTACTGTTTCCTCTCCATTTCCCCTTCCAAAAGTTAATCAAGTACACTTTAACTCGCGATCTTGTAGAGATCCCCACCGCATGTCATCTTGCCAAGTTGCTTTTAAATAAAATCTTTAAAAGGAAAGTGTATATGGCATTTTTAGAATAACAGCTGTGGCATTAAATCAAACCTATGCTCCTCACGGGTAAAACGTCCGTGCATAGCAACTCTAGAATAAAATGCCCTGGGAACAAACAAGACATCTATCTTCAAGAGTAAAATTACTGGCATATCCCAAACTTAAAAAAAAAAAAATCTGTCATCAACTATTAGGCAGACGGCGGTTGTCACTTGGAGCACACGCTATTATTATAAGGCTTTCTCAGCAAAAAAAAAAAAAAAAAAAAAAAAAAAAAAGTAAAGAAAGAAAAATAGGACAAGCACGCCAAGAACGGCCAGTGTAATCAGGATTTGCAGAAATCCCAAGTCGGAATCTGCAGACCCAAGAGTTCTTTCTTCCAGAGTAAACACGTTTTACTCCAAAAGCAAAACAAGGCGTTACCAACAGCCCTTCCTACGCCCCTTCTCGCCAGTTACCTGGCAAACTTCAGCCTTACAGGTCCCGAGAGGCGCTAGGAAAACTGCTCCAGAGGTGAGCTGCAGCAGGGAGCTCAGACCCGCTGGAGAAACCACGCACCCCGGCGCGCCGCGGCGAACCTGGAGGGGAGCCTCTCCTCTTTGTGAAGCTCCCTGCCCGGGTCCGGCGCGCTCCCCGTCCCGCGCGCGGACGCGACCCCCGGCGCCCGCCCGCCCTCCCGCCCTCCCGCCGGCCGCGGCCCGCGCCCTCACCTGCTCCCGCTCCCGCATCCTCGGGGCCGCGCGCCCGTCAGCGGCCGGCCTCCCGGGGCCCCGCCGCGCGGCCGCCGCCGCCGCTCGCCCGCCCGCGCCGCGGCGCGCTCATGGGGCGCGCATGCCTCACTTCCTGTCTCCCACAGCGCGGCCCGCAGACCATTCCCCCGGGGCAGAGTCCGGCGGCCGGAGGGGAAGGGCCCGGAGGGGTCCGGCCAGCCAGGGGCGCCGCGCGGAGGAACCGGGGGCGGGCGGGCGCGGGGCGCAGCGGCCGGGGCGGGCGTCCCTCCCCCTGGGCCGGCCGGGCGGACGGATCTGGGGAGGCGGCGGCCGCCCGTGACCTCAGAGAGTTGGAATGCGGGCGGCGGGGCGCGGGGGAGGCGCGGACAGCTGCGCCCGGCCGCCGGGGAGGGGGCGCGCCGCTGCTTTTTTTAATCGCATGACCGCTTATTTTAAGAGTTTCCAAATAAAGTAAGGCTTTTAATAAAATGAGGGGAGGGGGTGTTATTTCGGTGCCGGGTAAAGGGTTTTATCTGTGCTGCTTACTAGGGGGGGGTCTGGAAAATGCTATTGTTGTTGGGTTCATGCGTTTCCTCCTGTGCGTTCGCGAAGGCGCTCCGAACGTGTTCTTTTCGTGCTTGCTTCTAAGGATATACTGCCTGAAGCTGGACGCTCCTCAGTGCTGGGGAAGAAAGACCCCCGCCCCCAATACGCAGGTGGTCCTCAAATAACCTGGGGGGTGGTCCCCCAAGAGAACTGCATGCCTGTGCAATGCAGAGGGGCCAGTTGAGGATTGGAAACCCCCGGGGTCAAGTTACAGGGAGTCCAACCCTGCTCCAGCTCTTCAGCTGAGAGACCTTGTGCGAGTTGCTTAACCTCTCTGCACTTATTTCCTCCCCAACAGTAATAACAATGATCATCACTATCCAATCTCGTGTTAAATGTGTGTAGTCTTTCATTTAATTCTGGGCCCCCTTGGTGATGTTTATTATTAGACTGCGTTGTTGCCATGAATGTACTTAAGCTAAGAGATAAAGCTTGGGACCCTAAGGCCATTAAAATAGTGTTTATTTATGTATTTGAAAGAGTAACATTGAGGCAGAGGCTGAGAGAGGTCTTCCTGAGAGAGGTGGTTCACTGGTTCACTCCCCCAAATGGCCGCAACAGCCAGAGCTGTGCAGATCCAAAACTAGGAGGCTGGAGCTTCTCCAGGGTCCCCCACGCAGGCACACCCCCCAAAGACTTGGGCCATCTTCCACTGCTTCCCCAGGCCATAGCAGAGAACTGGATCAGAAGTGGTGCAGCCCAGGACCCAAACCGGCGTCCATAGTGATCAGAGCAGGCAAGCTTTTTTTCTTTAAAAAAATTTATTTATATAGTTTGAAAGGCAGAGTTACAGAGAGAGGGGGAGAGACAGACATCTTCCACCCACTGGTTCATCCACTGGGCCAGGCAGAAGCCAGGAGCCAGAAGCTTAATTGGCATTTTTCCATGTAAGTAGCAGAGGTCCCAAACACTTGGGCCTTCTTCCCCTCTTTTTCCCAGGCCATTAGCAGGGAGCTGGATCAGAAGTGGAGCAGCCAGGTAAATGAACCGGCACCCAGAAGGGATGCTGGCATCATAGGGGGAGGCTTTACCCACTATGCCACAATGTCCCCCCACTTTTCTTTTAAGACTTATTTTAAAGGCAGAGTGACAGAGTTGTTTTCCACTAGTTTACTCCCCAAATGCCCACAACAGCCACGGCTGTTCCAGGCTGAAACCAGAAGCCCAAAACCTCACCTGTCTCCCACCTGGGTGGGCTATCATCCGCTGCCTTTGCAAGTACATTAGCAGGAAGCTGGAGTGGAAGTGGAACAGCCAGAACCAACCAGTGCCCCAGTACAGGATGTGGGTGCCCCAAGCAGTAGTTGAGCCCACTGAGCCACAATGCCTGCCCAGAGAAGTTTTTTTTTTTTTTAATGTTTATTTTATTTATTTGAGAGGTAGAGTTACAGCCAGTGAGAGGGAGAGACAGAGAGAAAGGTCTTCCTTCCGATGATTCACTCCCCAAATGGTCGCAATGGTTGAAGATGCGCTGACCTGAAACCAGAATCCAGGAGCTTCCTCCGGGTCTTCCCATGCGGGTGCTGGGGCCCAAAGACTCGGGCCATCTTCTGCTGCTTTTCCAGGCCACAGTAGAGAGCTGGATTGGAAAAGGAGCAGCCGGGACTAGAACCGATGCCCACGGGTGGAGGATTAACCTACTGCACCACAGCAGCAGCCCCTACAGAGAAGTTTTTAATTCATGACAGTTTTATTTGCCATGACTTGGTTTTAGTGCTGTTGTCTCCAGAGAGCTGGGTTTCTTTCATGAGTAACAAACACGTTTTGGGTACTTCTGTGCCTATGAGGCATGGTCGCTGCACAGAAGGAGCTTCTGGCCTGGAGGGTGGAACAAGGCAGAGCAGGGAGCCCTGTCTTGGAGGCCGAGGAGTGCCAGGCCCCCCTGGAGAGTGTTAGCGGGAGAACAAAGCCCAGCAAGATTCACCTTGGGTCACACACATAAGATTCCCTGTGTTTCTAATGGGACAAAAAATAGATCAAGTCGGTTTGTAATTGATGTTTCAACTGCGCTCTATGAGGAGTCAATTGTGTCTGAAGAAAGAAAACAAACAAACAAAAAGACCTGAAAATAAGTCACTTTTCTGGTCTCCCATGCAAGAAAAATAGGAATTGTGTGACTTTCTCCCGTCTCCAGCCTGTCATTTCCTCCAAAATGTCTCAAAATTTCTTTCTTCTCTGTTGACTCTGGCATATCCTGATCCAAACCCTCATCGATTTACATCTGGATTATGGCAACAAGGGTGGTCTCCTGACTTTTGGTTTCTCAGTTCTGGCTTACCTCTCAGGCTGGCTTACCTCTGCTGGCTGTGTTGTGTCACTCCCTGCATGTGGACTCAAGGCTGAGCTCTCCTGCCTGACCTTTGGGGACTTTCTCAGCTGGCCTCTTTGACCCTCTGGGTTTTTTTCTCCCCAGGCTGTGCCCCGCTGCCCGCAGCAGTTCCCTCTGGCCCTCAGCACCTGCTGCTGCCCGCTCCCCCGCCCCGCCATTCCTCTGCACTTTCTCAATTCAAGACTCTGCTTCCAGGACAACTTTCTAGCCACCGCATTCCACAGTGATCTGCACGCCTGGCGAGAACTTTCAAAAGTGTTTCATGAAGGCTTCTTTTATATCTCCTAGAATTCCTGGAACAGTGCTGGACAGAGAGTAGGCACTAAATAAAAACTTGTTAATTGAATTGGGAAGAAAATAAAAGAATTTTAAAAATAGAAAATGATCGTAAAACCCAGGTGATGTGAGACAACTGAGTTGAACTTCCTCCCTTGCAGTCTGCAGAAGTCATTTGCTGGTCAAGGGCTTAAGCACTGTGTCCCCTCCCTCAACCACATTAATTTAGCAGGAACATCCCACCGGCAAGGCGCTTAACCCTTCAAAGTATTAGACTCAAAATGACTGGTTTCTCCTTCACATGTAGGAAAAGTGACTTAATTTAGATGCACTAATCCCAAAAGATATAAAAGGATATAAGTGAAAAAATCCCCTTCCCACCTGTGTTTTAGACAACCTTACTCTCCCGGGAGTAACCAGTGTAACCTTACTCCTACATATCCTCCTACGGATAACTGTACAAATACAAGCTACTACATAGATGCCTCCTTTCTTCCTCCTTTCCAAATGTGATATATTACATATACTTCTGCACTGGAAGATAATCCTTACCACAATATTCAAATATGGTAAAAGTTAAACAGGGAGGTAGGCGTTTGGCCCAGCAGTGAAGACGCTGCTTGGGTTGCCTACATCCCATAGCAGAATACCTGGGTTTGAGACCTGGGTCAAAATCTCTAACTGCTGGGAGTCACAGTCATAAGCAGATACTTTTTCAAAAAGTTGAAAGGGCCTGTGTTGCGGTGCCATGGGTTAAGGCGCTGGCTGAAACACTGGTATCTCATATCAGAGAGCCAGTTCAAGTCCTGGCTGATCTGCCTCCAACCCAGCTCCCTACTGAGGGGCCTGGGAGAACAGCAGAAGACAGCCCAAGTGCTTGGACTGCTGCCACCCACGTGGGAGACCTGATGGAGTTCTGAGCTCCTGGTACCAGCCTCGCCTAGCCCCAGCTGTTGTGGCCACCTGGGGAGTGAACTAGCAGATGGAAGACATTTCCCTCTCTCTCTTTCTCTCTCTCTCCCCCACCATGTCACACTGCCTTTCAAATAATTCACTTTTTAAAGATTTATTTATTTAAAAGGTTGAAAACAGATGGAGATCTTTTGTGTACTAGTTCATTGCCCAAGTGCCTACAACAGTCAGGATTGGGTTAGACAAAGCTAGGAAGCTGGAACTCAATCCAGGTCTCCTACGTGGGTGGCAGGGACCCAACCACCTGAGATATCACCTGCTACTTCCCAGGGAATGTAGTAATAGGATGCTAGAATCGGAAGCATAGCCAGGACTTAAACCCACACCTTCTGATATCGGACGCAGAATCCTACAGAGTCTTTTTTTTTTTTTTTTTTTTTTTTTTTATAGGCAGAGTGGACAGTGAGAGAGACAAAGAGGTCTTCCTTTACCGTTGGTTCACCCTCCAATGGCCCCTGTGGCTGGTGCGCTGCGGCCGGCACACCGCACTGATCCGAAGCCAGGAGCCAGTTGCTTCCTCCTGGTCTCCCATGGGGTGCAGGGCCCAAGCACTTGGGCCATCCTCCACTGTACTCCTGGGCCACAGCAGAGAGCTGGACTGGAAGAGGGGCAACAGGGACAGAATCCGGCGCCCTGGCCGGGACTAGAACCTGGTGTGCGGGTGCTGCAGGCAGAGGATTAGCCTTAGTGAGCCACGGCGCCGGCCTCCACAGAGTCTTTTTTTATTTTATTTTATTTTTTTATTGTTTTTTTGACAGGCAGAGTGGACAGTGAGAGAGAGAGACAGAGAGAAAGGTCTTCCTTTGCCATTGGTTCACCCTCCAATGGCTGCCGCGGCCGGTGCACTGTGGCCAGCGCACCGCGCTGATCCGATGGCAGGAGCCAGGTGCTTCTCCTGGTCTCCCATGGGGTGCAGGGCCCAAGGACTTGGGCCATCCTCCACTGCACTCCTGGGCCACAGCAAAGAGCTGGACTGGAAGAGGGGCAACCGGGACAGAATCCGGCGCCCCGACCGAGACTAGAACCCGGTATGCCAGCGCCGCAAGGCGGAGGATTAGCCTAGTGAGCCGCGGCTCCGGCCTCCACATAGAGTCTTAACTGCTTCATCTAATGCCCGCC